TTTTTTGGGGGGGGGGTGTTTAGGGTTCAGGACTCCATGTCATATTTGGTGTTGGGGAGTTTCGGGTTCAGGGTTGCTTATCATATTTGGCTTTTCGGGTGTGTAGGGTTTAGGGTTCCCTATCATATTTGTTCTTTGTGGCTTAGCGTTCCCTGTCGTAATCGGTTATTAGGGTTCGGTTTAGGGGTTGGGGCTCCTTATCAGATTTGGTTTTTGCTTTATAAGCGCCTATACCGGAGTCTGGTCATGTGTGCACCATGCAGAGATCATGCGGTTTCAAGTTGATCTGAAGTCCTAAGGTGAACCGGTTCTCCATTGGGGTCTTGCTTACACAGGAGGAGTCTGTGCGAAGGGTTGGATGACTTTCTTGTCAGCTTAGCTTAGCAACTGGTCTGTCTGAGGTGTTAAGGACGCAGCTTCGCATCTTATCAGCCTTGTACATGCATCTGTATATATATATATATATTGTGGCCTTATATCTATATGTACGTAGATGCGTCTCTCTCTCTCTCTCTCTCCGTTGTTACATAGGTATGTATATATACATGTATATATATATATATACACAGAAATAGAAGAATATATATATATATGTGTATAAAGCCGACACCCTGCACTGGCACGCTACGGCCTCTTTTCCTGTCATTGGAGGATTACCGTGTAGACCTCTGCGCTGCAGTTGGTCGGCTCGGATGTCAGGAACCCCCAAAAATTTCGCGATGCAGAGCCTCCCTTCGCCGCCATTGTGCAATCCAGGCAGCAGTGGTCATCCGTTCCTTTGTGCCCGAAGATGCGTCTATGTGATGAAGAGAGGCTGGTGCCATGTGCAGTCTTGCAAGCTACCTGGATCCTTTAGGCCCTACTTTTTCGGGTTTTTTTTTAATATGATGCCCTTGTACATCTTTCCTAAACCATGCAAATTACCTGGGTTAAGGTACTGCCACCTGGACCACTATCTGCCCGTGGTGAAGCTCAACAAGCGGCAGCGTCATCTGCTGCAACGGCTCGACAGGAAAAGCAAGATCGACCTGCTACTCGCAGCTTTTCGTAGAGGGCTGCAGCGTGCGGGTCTCACCGATCAGGCCGGAAGCTTCATCTACCTCCTGGAAGACGTGGCTTCCATGCAGCCGGAGCCAGAGGCTCCATTAAACAAGAGGCGCATCGACGACTTGCTCAAGGCTCTGAAGCGCATGACCCTCAACGACAACATCACGGCCTTCGAGGATGTCCTTCCAGAGCAGGTGATTCAGTCATTCCAGGACTTACGCCGAAGCCTTGCTCCGACATGTGATGCCCCAATGACCATGTCTTCCAAAGCCGAGCGCTCCTTGAAGGAAGCTCTTGAAGAATTTCCTCTTCAGGCTCCAGCCCTAACATGGCTTCTCTGAGGAGATTCGGTCGGAGATGCGATAGCTCGATACCTTTCCGGTCTGTGATGGCTTCGATTTTGAAGAGGGGTGTTGAAAAAGCAAACAGCAACAGATCTGAAGTGTTTGAGGTCAATTCGGATGTCCCCTGAACCTGGGGTGAGTTGGATATGCGCATTCTGCAGGGGCCAGAAAACCTTAGTGTCGAATACAAAACTAGAATAATTAATGCACCACAGAATGCGTCCTGCAGGCCCCTCTGTTACATACCTGCTTTGACTGGCTTCGTCGGTGCAATTCCGAGAATGTCCCGTCCGGGCGGATTTGCAGAGGGCGGCACTAGCCCTTAGTGGCTAGCATTTCTTATTGAATGGTGCTCCGGACAGGAAGTCTTCTTTGCCTCCACCATCTTCCTCATGTCTGTCGGGTTCTGCTGTGCTGACGGGTTGGCAGGAGTCCACCGCCTGATTTATTGAAGGCATGATGTCGGGGCATGGTGGTATTGGCGCCACCCGTTCTGATTGTTTGAAGATGCTGCAGGTTGTGTAAGAACAGCTCTAATTCCATGGGGTAGAAGAAAGTCTCTTCAGATGCTTTGCGTCGAGAGTGTTATGGGCTCTTTGATCGTGAAGCCTCATGAGGATGAAGTCCACCAAACACACTACGCAGTGTCTGAGCTTATCATATCGACGGCAGCTTGAGTCTAGGGAGTCTTATCATGGTTCATTGTCAGCTGGGAAAGGCCTTCAGCGCACACTGCAGTGAATCGGGCATGTGATGTCACGGTTGCAACGATTCCACCTTCCACGGCCGAGCCATCCTTGAAGGAAGCTCTTACACAGTTTCCTTTTTCGACCTCCGGCTTTGACATGGTTGAGGAGATGCTCAATGCTATTGTCGTATGCCTTCCGATGCCTCACTGGGTTTTTCAGGCCCTTCATGAAACGGTGGTACTACTCTTGGGATGTTCAGGTGGTGCCTGTAGCTCGAAACCTTTCCGGCCGGTGATGGTTTCGATTTCAACGAAGGCTTGGCAAAATGGCCTTTAGACTCAGCAGCAGTTATAAGGCTCCGATCTGAAGTGATTCAACTCGTTTCTGCTATCCCCTCTGCGCTCTCCTGCCGATCACACACTCAACCGAATTGCATCTTCGGCTTGTTTGGGACGCCCGAGCAAGTCGATCATGGATCGTGTGGCGAACCGTGAACCCTAAGCCCTAAACCCGAAGCCCTATACCCTAAACCCTAAACCCGAATTCGGCTTGAGTTGGGTCGCGCGTACGATAGGGGCCTACTGATTCGTATAGTCCCTTGTTTCCCGAAAATATATATCTCTAGTCCAATATACCCCCGCAACAGAAAGCCCTCTTCGAAACACCTACGAGTATTTGATAATCAAGGCCCCTATATTACCTGCTTTGACTGGCTTTGTCGGTGAAATTCCGAGAATGTCCTCGTCGGGCGGATTTGCAGAGGGCGGCACTAGCCCTTAGTGGCTAGCATTTCTTATTGAATGGTGCTCCGGACAGGAAGTCTTCTTTGCCTCCACCATCTTCCTCATGTCTGTCGGGTTCTGCTGTGAGGGACGGGTTGGCAGGAGTCTACTGCCTAATTTCTTGAAGGCATGATGGTGGGGCATGGTGGCATTGGCGCCACCCGTTCTGATTTGTGAAGATGCTGCAGGTTGTGTAAGAATAGCTCCAATTCCATGGAGTAGAAGAAAGTCTCTTTAGATGCTTTGTGTCGAGAGTGTTATAAGATGTGCACGAATTGTTATGAGCTCTTTCATCTTGAAGCCTCAGTAGTTGGGGATGAAATCCACCAAACACACCACGCAGTTTCCGAGCTCATTATACCCACCCCGGCTTGAGTGTAGGGGATTCCTAGCACACTCTAAACCCTCAACCCCTTTGATTTGAGGAAAATCGGGGCAGCTTCTTTTAGCAGCTGTACGGTGGTCTCGAAGTGCACGCTGCACTTTCGTCCCTTTTGTTGTAAAAGCTCAGCGCCAGAGTCTACTGTGGGTTACAAGTTTGAGTCTGTTTTTGTTTTTGTTTCTTCTCTCTCTCGCTCTCTCTTTTTTCTCTTTCTGCCCAATGCCGAAAGGTATCAGAATCTTCAGACTTTGTCTTCGAATCGCTAACGTGGCATGTCGGCCCTAAAGTCCACAAGTACCCTCGGCGATCAGTTCATCTGGGAGGCTGAATCCGCTGAAGGCCGACTCTATCGAAGCGAGGCAATTTCTGCAGGCACATTTTAGGGCGTTCAGGTTTACCCACAGGCCCCTAAGTAGCTCCTTTTTGGGATTACCTTATAGGATTCTAAATATAGACCATAAAAAGGAACTACTTAGGGCCTATGGGTAAGGTTTAGGACTCGGATTTGGGCTGCGGGGTTTGAAGGTGCGTATTACAGGGGTCTAAACAATTACCAATACTATTTTGGGGGTATAGTTATTATAGTTTTAGTAGAAAGCGACCCCAACACCCTATTCTCATCATTGAGGCGCCTACAGTAAGGACCCTCAAGTTCGCGGGTTTCGGGGTCTGTGGGCTTCAGGCATTTCAAGGCATTTCGGGTTTGAGAGCCTCACTAGCATCCCAGGGCTCCGGTTACTGCAATAGTAGCTTACTAACTATATAATATGAAAACCAACCTATACTCCCTAAACCCCAAACTAACAATAAGATATATATATATGTGTATATATATATAAGAACACCCCAAACTAACAATAAGATAGATAGATAGATAGATAGATGGATATATATATATAAGAAAAACGGGAAACCGTAACCCCAACTGGAGCCCTCTGTTTTCCCATGGATCTGCAGGATCAAGGTCGGAATAGGTTGTCGTAGGAGGGACGTGATCTACATAATAATAATACTTATTATTATTATGATTATAAATATGATTATGATTATAACTATAATTATAATAATTACTATTATTATACTAATAAATAATAGGGGATTCAGGGCTTCGGGTTTAGGGGTTAGGAGTGTAAGCTTTGTGATTTAGGGTCTTTGAAAATCCCCACATGGCTATACTGAGAAGGCTGCCGGTGACTTCCTGGAGGCAGCAGACAAATGGCTAGTGAAAACGAAGAACAGCATGAACAAGGACCGGGAGGATGGACAGGGGCCCGAACACGGCCGTGAATGTCTGGAAGCAGGGTAGCCCTTGCGAGTATGTTGTGAGCTTAAATGGCTCGAAGGCTAAGGGTTTAGAGTTACGGTTTAGGGGTTGTGGGTTTAGGGTTTTCAGCGCCTTATCTTAGAGATGTGACATCAGGTACAGCTATGAGACGTTTGCATGCGATCACCGCGAGATGCTCCACAATGTCGTGGACACAATCCTGTAAGTCCAACTTCAAGCACACTCTGTCTTGTTTCCAAACCCCCTGACCCCACAGCCCTAAACCCTGCCCCCCAAGTCCTGAACCCCGCCCACCGACTCACCCACTCACCCACACAAGCCACCCACCCACGCGCCCACCCACCCACACACACACACACCCCACCCCCCCCCCCACCCACCCAC